ACATCGTCACCTATACCACGCCTATTCCTTTGAACATGCGAGTAGTCCGAATCAACCGACTAGGACACCTAGGATAACCGAGATCTAATTACGGTAGTAAATTTGAATGTAACAGACCATAAAAGGTTCGTCTACACCTAAGAAATTTCTTTCACCAAAACTAAGATTTTCAACTAAAACATTTACAAAGTAATGCAAATAATTACTTATAGATGAATCATTTCTTGAATTCAGAAATCCCTGGGTCAATGCAAAAATTATAACGAAAAAACCATTTACCGCTAAACGCAAAATTAAAGAGGATTTTTTAACACAATCTAATATAAATTAATATATTGCTCATGCGTCTCTAGAGGTAACTAATTTATGGCTATTGCTTCTTTGATTTTTTACCTATTTCAGGGTTGTTCACCACATACGACACGGAGTATTGTAGCAAAACGATTAGATTTTTACAAATTGTAAGTTTTGGGTTTGTTGAAGGACTATTAGAGCTACAATTTAAAAATATTTTTACAAGATACAGAGTGTCCCAAATAAATAAAAAATATCAAAGTTGTATTTTTTTAAATGGAACACCCTGTATATTATTGCATTTTTGGTTTCTACGACTAAAATAAAGGTAAATTTGATTAAGGTTTATTACACTTAAACCTTACCGTTTTTAAAATATTTTCAATTTTGCGAAATTGCAGTATAAATTTTAAGGCTTCATTTCTCCGAGGATATCAAAGTTTTTAATACTAAATATTTACTGAAGTTTATTTATCGATCAGTTATTGTGTTGCAATAATAAAAATTATACTACCTTATACAGAGTGTCTAAAATTTTATTTTAAATAATTACTAGCTTTAAACAGCAATAACTTATTTACATTAAATAGGACACCCTGTATATTTTATGAGAATCAGATGCACAATTTAATTGTCTATCAAATTGTATTATACCACTTCTTACCTATTCCTTCAAGTTTTCGTAGAAAATGCATTTTCTTATAATTTAGACCTCATTTATCAATATACCCATGGAATATTGACATTTTAGATTGTTTTAAAACAACAAATGTACAAAATGTACAGACTAGTAATATTATCGTTTTAGTAAAACGATAATATTACTAGCCCATTTGTATGCAAAAAGAAAACTATGTAAATCTTTATAAAAAGAGTATACCATTAATTAAATATACCACCAGTATTTCCGCCCAAATACTAATTAACTACATACTTAATTGTGTTCGTTAATAAATTATTCTAAATAAATGTGGATTTGAGTCAGAAATCAATATAATAATAAGTTATGAAAATGAACGTCTCTGTTGTTATAAATAGGCATTTGTCGAAAAATTAAATATCATTTTTAAGGTGTTACTTTTTACCACACTGTCTAATACACATACATAATTCAGCTTTTTAGTATTTGGAGCAATTATTATTAATCAACGCAAACAGTCAATTAATGTAGTTTGAATACTGGAATCATATTAATTGGTCCTTTTTAACAAATATTTAAACAGTTTTTTTTAATGAAATAAACGAACTATATCGACAATATTAGTATCTGTACTCTTTAAAAATTTGGTACATCTTTAAAAATAATCTAAAATGTCAGTACTCCATGGGTATATTGATAAATGAGTTCTAAATTACAAGAAAATGCATTTTCTACGGAAACTTGAAGAGATAGGTAAAAAATGGTATAATACAATTTGATAGACAATTAAATTGTGCATCTGACTCTCATAAAATATATAGGGTGATCCATTTAAATTAAACAAATTATTGCCGTTTAAAGCCAGTAATTATTTAAAATTAATTTTTAGACACTCTGTATAAGGTAGTAAAGTTTTTATTACTGCAACACAATAACTGATCAATAAATAAACTTCAGTAAATATTTAGTAATAAAAACTTTGATACCCTCGGAGAAATGAAGCCTTAAAATTTATACTGGAATTTCACAAAATTGAAAATATTTCAAAAACGGTAAGGTTTAAGTGTAATAAACCTTAATCAAATTTACCTTTATTTTAAGCGTAGAAACTAAAAATGTAATAATATATAGGGTGTTCCGTTTAAAGAAATACAACTTTGATATTTTTTATTTATTTGGGACACTCTGTATTTTGTAAAAATATTTTTAAATTGTAGCTCTAATAGTTCTTCAACGAATCCAAAACTTACAATTTGTAAAAATCTAGTCGTTTAGCTACAATACTTCGTGTCGTATGTGGTGAACAACCCTGTATACCGTGCTGGCAATTCTTAGCCCGTGGTTACATTGGATGCGTGTCCGTGCGTTTTTTTGGTCGTACGTGCTCGGACGTGCACGCAAAAAAAAACAAACAAATGGTATCTACGCAGGCGGTTACATTGCATCGGAATTTGTGCGTCCGTGCAAGTACGTCGATTACCGTTGGTCGGATGAAAACAAACTGGTTTGTTTTTTTAATACGTGCACATCCGGGCGTTCGAATTTTTATATCTCTGGGCCCAATACATTCCCGAAAAATTTGAATATTTTTGAATACCAGGTTTATATATTTTTATTTTAGATATATTAATGTTGCTGGAAACATTCCAAAATATTCAACAAATTTGACCGTTTGCTGTTTTAATTCACCAAATACATATTCATTTTCTTGCTCTTTTCTTGCATATAAATCATTTACCTAATATTTTCTTCTGTTCATAAGTAGTTATTTTAACATTAAATCCTCAGACAGCTTCAAAGTAGTGGCGTCCGTTTTGACAAACTCGACACACAGGTCACCATGAATGCGCATCTAATGTAACCACTAAAATAAAATAGTCGTGTGACTAAATTCCGTCAGAGCTCGCACGTGTCAAAAAACGCACGGACCCGCGTTCAATGTAACCGCGGGCTTACTTTTGGGTCGATATTTATAAATGTGGAAGTAAATCGCATAGGGATCTTATTAAGTCGGAGTGAAATAAATGCGACGGTGTGTTCATCACGTTCGAAAACCGCTTATTTTTAAAATACTTTTTTTTCGAAAAGATAACTAGATAAAATCATTAGATAAGTTTCTGAGCATCTGAAATGGAATTATAAGGATATCGTTAGGGTATCCATATTTTTTATAACGAGAAAACGTCAGTAATCGCGATAATTTAAAAACTCAACTTTTTAACACATAACTCAAGAACCACTTCAGATATTGATTTTTTTTTATTTTGTTCGGATTTTTTACAATATTCAAATTCAAATTCAAATTTCTTTATTAGACCCCATTAAGTTTTACAGAATAATATTAGTATTAATAAATGTGTGTCTAAAGGGATCGCACTGCGATTAAAAAACCGATACAATGGCACAAAGTGCCAGAGTGGTGCGACCCCCCATTATATGTTTAAATGAGAAAAATTTGAGAGAGGTTTTTTTTCATTCAAAAATTTAAAAAAAACCATCCATTTATTTTTAGTGCATTAAGAATTAAAACATTGTTTGTTCAACATAAACTCTAACTACAGCAAAATTGCTAGATGATTAGTAGAGATTAATAGTAAGTGTAAATAAAGTGTATTTCTTTTAGTGATGTGTCGGTATTTGAGTAACGCGATTTTGGAGCGGTATTTTTTTGTAACGTCGTGTCGCGCTCCACAACGAATCAGGAACCTGTTACTGAAGAACGACGATCATAATGCCGACAAAATTATAAATTATTTATAATTTGCAAATAAATTATTTATAATCGCTCTTGAAGTTAGCTGAAACCGTAGTAACCGCATAGCGACGTGTTTAGCTCCAGCCGTCGCGATTTTGTCGGTCGCCAACAGTAGTAACTGGCATTGGTATGTACGTAGCGTCGCGCGTGTTCGCTCCAGCCGTCGCGCTCCTAGAGCCGTAGTTCCGTCTGTCGCGAACAGAAGTAACTGGTCCCTGCTGTAACTAGCTATCGACGCTCGACCACGGCGGCGCGGCGATGTACTTCGTTCCAGCAGTGGCTGGAACGCTTCTAGGGTTCCGGTTTTGCCTGTCGCCATTTGGTCGGTTATTAATTACTATTGGTGTTGTGCTCCCGTCGCTACGTTACTTTCGAAATAGTGATTTTTGGTATGTACTAGGCATGGTATAAAATAGCGTTGTTTGAAAGATGAAACTCAAAAGCAAATAAAATTAAATAAAAATATTTTATTTGTTTTTATACATTTATATAAGTTTTATTGTTTATATCTATTTTTAAGGTTAGGTTAGGCCAATAAACAATTTTTTTCGACAGTGGTTTGGACTTTCTTGATTTTAACATTAAATATATTATATTGCAATACACATAAATATGAGCCGTTGACTTTATTTAAACGAAAATTGATGGAAAATAACAAGGAATGTCATAGTTTTTCTAAAAATGAAATAGATTGGCTATACACAATTATAAACTCGATATTTGGAAAATGAGTGGCGGATAAAAGTTACATTAATCTACAAATATAGATAAGTTAGATATATTTTTGGCGAGGACCGCGACACTTTGGAAGTCGGAACCTCGGTTACAAAATCGCGGTATTTTTCTGGAACGGTCGCTATTGTAACGCGACTCATGTGGAACCGGTAGGGGAGAGGGGGCAAGAGTGAACAGGTGGGCAAGAGTAAACGGCTCAATAATATTTTTAATTATTGAAATTTTCGCCACCAATGGTTATTTTAAGGCGAACCGCGTGCCGTGGACATGTTTGTGTAACTATGACCCAATTTTGAAAAAAATAAGCAAAAAAAAGGTGAGTTTTTGTTATAATGATACATCGATGTAAGGATTAGTTGTTAGTTTATACCTTTTATTTATGTCTGGTAGTTATTTTTGTTTTTTTTGTATTCTATAACCGATCTGTAGAACCTAACCTATAAATTCATATTAGCTTGTAAGACCACCAGTGCCGTGTTGTTACAAAAAAACTTTGTTATTTAATTATCCGTTATGTGAGGCAAGAGGAAACAGCTGTTTTCTCTTGCCCCCAATTATTCTATTAATTTTTTTAGGATGGTTCGCAAATACGTTCGGAAAAGCAGCAGGGCTTCCTATTCCGAGGAAGATATGAGCAAAGCAATAGACGAAGTTCAGTCAAAAACTCTTGGTTTGCGAAAAGCTGCTGAAAAATATGGCATTGCGGTAGCGACTCTTCAGAAGCGAGTTAAGAAAAATCAGTTTGTCGTGGTTAATATTGGTAGATATAAACCTACATTTAATACTGAACAGGAAGAAGAATAAAAAAGCCATGTATTGTCTCTAGAAAAATTGTTTTATGGAATTTCCCCTACAGGGCTGCGACGTCTAGCATTTGAATTTGCCGAAGCGAATCATATCGATCATCAGTTTAATAAAGAAAAGCGGATTGCTGGAAAACAGTGGGCACAAAACTTCATATCAAGAGTTGGGGGTTTGTCAATTCGAACCCCAGAAGCAACAAGCATGTCACGTATTTCTGATTTTTCCAGAGCCAAAGTTCAGCGATTTTTCGACTTACTACAAGAGGCTCAACTAAAATATCAGTTCAAACCAGATAGTATTTTTAATCTTGATGAGACTGGGGTAACTGTAGTTCAGAATCCAAAAAATAATAATAGCGCAAAAGGGAAAAAAGCAAGTTGGGAGAGCTACTTCTGCTGAACGTGGAAAAACGGCCACGGTTGTGGCCACGCTTTTGGATCTTTTATTCCTCCAGTATTGATTTACAAACGTGTAAGACTGAACCCCCATTTATTAACCGGGGCTATTCCAGGAACCATAGGAATTCCTAGCCCCACCGGTTGGATAGATACGGATATCTACTTTAAGGTGGCCGAGCATTTTATTAAATCAGTTCGAGCTAGTAAGGATAACCCAACGCTACTTATCGTTGATGGACACAGCAGCCATAAATCTGTAAAGGCAGTAAATTTGTGTCGAGAGCATGGCATTGTTGTAATAACATTACCACCACATTGCACTAATCGCCTTCAGCCCCTTGATCTCACGGTGTTTGGTCCTTTTAAATCTTATTTAAATTCGGAAATGGATATTTGGATGACCAACCATCCAGGAGAACGAATTACAGAATATGACATGGGTCCTTTAATAGGCAATGCATTCAGGAGAGCAGCTACTCCTAATAATATTTGCAGCGGCTTCAAAACGTCAGATATTTTTCCATACAATCCAAATGTTTTTTCCGATGACGACTACGCCGCAGCAGATGCAGTTAACGCTGGTTTGAAGGAAGTATTAGGTGATAAAAATATGAATAACGAAGAAGCAAAAGACAAGAAAAGCGTAGACAGTGACATAGAAGGTGATATAAAGAAATTAGAAAGTCCTAATGTGTCTGTGTCAGAATTGAATCCAAAATCTAAACAAAAAGCTTCTAAAAAAACGACCAACCGAGTTCAGCAAAAGTCAGAAGTTATAACAACAACACCGTATAAAGAGTCTTTAGAAGAAAAAGAAAATAAAATTGTAGATTCTAAAAAAGTACTGAGGGTAAAAAGGAATATATGTGACGAAGAGCCAGGTGTATCGGGAATAAAAACAAAGAAGAAAGTTGTCAAGAAACAAAAACGAAATAAAGAGGACGATAACTTTATTGTAAATGCATTTATTGCGGAGGTAAATTCAGCGACTCTGCCGAAGACTGGATAAGATGTGCTACATGTGGCTTATGGTCACACGAGGACTGCACAGACGTTGAACCTCTTGATAATTTTTTTTACTGTGACTTTTGTCGTCGTTCTTAGGATTTTTTATCGTCTACTCTTGCCCCATACCAGAGGGGCAAGAGTGTACAGTTACAATGTTTTAAAAAATGTTTGTATTTTTGTTATTTCATGTTTTGATGAAGTTTTTTATGCATATTTTTCTAGTTTGTATTACCAAAGATTGTTCTCCAATATGCAAGTTTATTTTAACGTCTTGTATTAAATTTTAAAAACAATCAAAGCTTAAGTGTTCACTCTTGCCCCCCCTCTCCCCTATTCCCATCACTAATTCCTTTGCGGCAATTTATTTTACTGAAATCAATTGGATTCAAATGCAATATACTTTTCTTCCAGGAGAGGCACATTTTTTAGAATTAGTGAAATAAAAATGCTATATATATAACATCAATTAAAATGAAAATACTTTCTTATCTGCTAACAATCCAGAAAACTTCAAAAATTGAAATGCATTACTTATATTCTATTTCCCAGATAATACTTAGTTTCGAAATCGAAAGAAAAATCTTAAAAACCTACAAAGAACACTGTTATTATAGTTTAAGCACATTATGCTTAAAATGCAATAATTCACAAAACTTGCGATTTCCAGAGCATTACGAATTATATTTTTCCGTCTGGCGATTATACACTAATTGCCAAATTATTCAACGGTCGGCATTCCTCACGCACACACATGCAAATTCTAATTTTAATTGTTTCAAGTTTAATTTAATAATAGAATAAATAATTTAAAACATGTGCGCACTCAGACTTGTCAGTCAGTGCATTTGATATCAAAATTATTATGGGAGGATGGCGTAAATAAATGAATCGGTTAGTTATAACGTACAGGGTGGGTCAAATTCGACGCTTTTAAATGGAAACACCCTTTTCTATAGGTGATAGACAAAAACTAATATCGGTGTCTGGAGCTCAATTTTTGTCAAAAACATGATGGTGAAAACCGCATATCGATATCTGTTACCGTTTCGGAGTTACGGGGTGTTTTTCAAAAATATGCATTTTTAACAAATCGCTGTAACTTTTTTGTTATTGGAAAATTTCGTATTTCTATGAAAACATTTCCAAAGCACCTTTTTACGTAGAATATAATGGTTTAAGTATATTTTTTTTTAAATTAATAATTTAAGAATTATCAACAGAAAATTTGATTTTTATATCGGACGCCCTGTATATTTTTAATCTATTGAAAAGAATTTAAATTACCTTTCCAAAAATATAAGACACTTGATATTTTGCTCGATTCCTCTTCGAGATATAGAGTATATAAAAATTCGCCCGCTTTAAATAAGTAGGCTTTGAACGGCACCGGCTGTAATGCAAAAAAATTCTAGCTGTGAGCATCAATTAAAACCAAAAACCATATTTGATTGAGAGATGCAGAATTTTATAACAATTTAAAATATATTTAACCAACATCAACACATTTAAACTATATCTAATAACAATAAAAATAAATAGCAAACCAAGACATGAGATTTTGCTACAGGTGTTCGACATATCGATAGTCTTCTGTTGTGGACAGACGGGGCAGTTTTTGAATATTTCTCGCGAAATTCATTAACTCAGTAGGGGTGAAAGATACCCTCTCATAACTGCTAAGTATTTCTAATTCTTGTCTAGATTATACGGAAGAATAAGGAACCTTAATTCTTCCGCAAGTATATCCATAGTATTAGATCCATGGGCACTAAGTCAGATGGCCTCGACGGCCAACGTCTGGGATCTTGGTTAGCTATTCAATTATTTTTGAAAATGGCTGCAAAATTTGTTGATTACTTCAGCGTTCAGAGGCGGTGCGTCGTCTTGCTGGAAAAAGATGTTTTGGAGTTCCATTAAGGGCATATCATCAATAAGGGGTCCAAAGCCTACTAGTTTAAAGTGGCGAACTTTTTAAAAATTCTGTATTTCGAAGGGGATTATAACAAAATATCAAGTGTGCTATATTTTTGGAAAGGTAATTTTAAATTATTTTCAGTTAAATAAAAATATACGGTGTGTCCCAAATAAAAAATCATTTTTTCTGTTCATAACTCTTAAATTATTAATTTTAAAAAAATTATACTTAAACCATTATATTCTACGTAAAAAGGTGTTTTGGAAATGTTTTCATAGAAATACGAAATTTTCCATAGCAAAAAAGTTACAGCGATTTGTTAAAAAGGCACATTTTTAAAAAACACCCCGTAACTCCGAAACGGTAACAGATATTGATGTGCGGTTTTCCCCATCATGTTTTTGATGAAAATTGAGCTCCAGACACCGATATTAGTTTTCCTCTATCTCCTATAGAAAAGGATGTTTCCATTTAAAAGCGTCGAATTTGACCCACCCTGTACACATAAATATATCGGTAGTCCAATCTAAAGGTCTATTATATGTCTGTATTGAGTTGTATGTAATTTGTAACTATAGGAATGTTGTCAATAATACAGATCATGTTAACTGCGTCCTTTATGTAAAATTTGGATATAAGTAAAGAGAAAACGTTTTAATAATTCTTAAACAGAAATTTAACTGCCTAAAAAGCAGCTTTACGTACTAAGCTTTTTTGTGTAGATATGTATTTTTGAGAAATATTCTAGAACAAAAGAGTCAATTTGAAAAACTATGCGACTAAACCTGCTACTAATAGTCCAGTATATAAAGGTTGAAACTACGGCATAATTCGTCGAGCTGGACTTTTCAGGCGGATTGTGTACCTTTTGGGAAGTAGTTATACAGAAACAAATTGTAACACCCGGCTCGGCCAGTTTTGGCCAAAATGATGGCCCAAAATTGCCGAAAGAAAAGTTTATCTCAAATATCTGCCAAAATATGCAATTTACAAATTTTTTCTTGGAATAAAACCTTAGGTAATTAGCTATAAAAATGGTCAGGAGATAGAAGAGGTAGAGTCAACAGCCATCAGATTTTGGAACTTTAAATTTTGTCATATTTGTCAACATTCTTTGGCCAAAAAAAATTCAGATTTTTACAAATTTATTCATATTTTCACTAATAATAGCTAATTTACCAAGATTTTTTTTTTGTGCGGGTGCCAAATATCACAAGCATTGTCATACATAATATCATAAGTCATATTCCACAGCCCCTAGACCATCAAGGGGCGTAGGACGCTACTTGGATGTTGACATTTTAGACCAAATGGTGAAGGTCCATCATATCCGGGAAAATAGGCGAGAACAATATACTCTGAAAGAGTTGCAAGATATACCGGTAATTTTGAATTTTTATCAATGATTTCCAACTCCTTATTGATCTTTGTTACTTATAAAGTTAGTATGCAATTTTCTTTCATTTACTGCACTTTCCGGAAATCATAAAAAACAGGAAAAGTTATTCACGAATAGTTGTTTTTCATTAAAATGTGATTAAACAAATACTTCAAACTTTCTGAGTTGCTTAAAGAGACTCTAAGAAAAACTGTTAAAAAAATCTTGACAAATAAAGCTATTATCAGTGAAAATATGAATAAGTTTAAAAATCTGAAAATTTTTGGGATAAGAAATGTTTGCCTTTTTTTATTATCATAAAATATGACAAAATTCAGATTTATATAAATTCAGAAGTTCCAAAATGTGATAGCTGTTGATTCTACCTTTCACATGAACTTTGAATCATCAAAAAATATTAAATTTTAGCTGACTTATTGAACAATTTGTCCTATCAATCAATGATATGCTTATAAAATCTATCTCCGAAACGTTAAGACTTGGAGGGATATTCGAGGCGAAATAGCTCGAAAACTACTAATTCTACTTAAAAAACGATCAGAACCGTTTTTATAGATAATTACCTAAGTTTCATTTTTTATTCCAAGAAAAATTGAATTTGTAAATTACATATTTTAGCAGATATTCGCGAAAAACTGATTTTTAGGCAATTTTGGGCTATTTTTTCGGCCATTTGGGGCAATTTTTTTGGCCAAAACAAGGTTTTCATGTCCTTATTTACTGAACTATAAATAGTATTTAAGAATGTCCATTCCTTGAAAAAATATTGCCACTGAGTCAAAAATATAGCAAATAAAAAGTAAATAACTTTTGTTAAAATACTACTCCATTAGAATGCAAACGGAATCCAGCGGTGTATGTATGATCAACATATTATCTGCATTGCCCAACACATTTTTGAATGACTAATGATTAAAGACAAGTAAAAATAAATAATAATTAATGGCAAATAATATTAAGTAAAAAAATACTAAAATTAGATTTTTATTAGTGCATTAAAATGTAAAAACTATACAATCATCTGCCTAGATTGCTAATATGGTTAGGACAACGCTGTTCCACATTTCAAAATGTAATACTTTTGATGCATTTTAGAGAATATTTATAATTGTGTATCTTTCTGTTGTATGATCAAAGTACTAACTTAAAATATATGCATGTATCTTTTATGTTAACGAATTAATATTTTTCTGCTCGATTTTCCAAATGATTGAATAGACTAAAATATAATACAAATAAAATTATATTGACATAACATCAATAGTACACAAAACAACATAAATACTCGTCTGGGCGATTATATTTATGTGCCAACAAGTGCTACTGAAAAAAACGCTTAAAAATAACCGAACATCGGCACAGTGTATCTATAGCTTTCAACGCATTATTAATAATTCGTCTTTCATTAAATTATATTTAATTGTTTGCTAAGCTAGTATGGGATGGGTCAACATAAAGCACGTATATAATCCTGATTTATACGATATACATCTGTTAAATCACAAAATAAATCATATTTACTGTGCCAGACTTCAAAATGGGGAAACTTGTTGCATTTTGAGTAAGCAAAAGATATTCGAAATATTTAGAATATTTAAATAACTTCTTGTTTATAATTCAAGTGTTAATAAAACCTATTTTTACAAAAATATAAAGTGTGTTACATTACTTATAAATATTTTCATTG